TGGCCTCCTTGAACCCTGGAGCATTAGATACATTTGATTAAAACAGCTGCACTAATAGCCTAAATAGTGGAAAATACTTAATACTGCAATCGGCTGATAGAGGCATTGGGGTTGTGGGAGACAGGGCCAGAACTGCATCTGAGGAGGCTCTTTTTAGTGGGTTCTTTTACTGGGGACATCCCCAAGAGGAAGGCTCATCTTCTGGGGAGGTGGGGCGCTGGGCCAGGGTGGTTCCCGAGCCACCTCTGCCCTGTATGCAGGATTGCAGGCTGCTGCCCGTTCCTCCTTGCACCCTTGTTTAGCTGAGTTATATAGACCCACTCCTCCAGGGCTTGGGCCATGACACAGCCCCACACTGCTCCAGTGTCCTCTCCTGGGACAGCAGCTGCCAGATGTGACCTCTAGAGTTACAGGGACAGAAGGAAGATTACCACAAGCACTCCATTGGTGAGCAGGGTCTCCGGCGAAGAGGCACTAAAAGACAAAATCAGAACTCCTCAGTGCCACCATTCTTGATTGATTTCTTATGCAGATGACATATAAATAAGGTCAATAATAAAACAGCAGAACCTTCTTGGTTATAAAAATAGCTTAAGAGATTTTAGATTTGTAGCTGATAAGGAAACTGGCATTTTATTTTATTTTATTTTATTTTATTTGTGGGACTGAGGATTGAACGCAGGGCCTTGAGCTTGCCAGGCAAGCACTTATTCTACTGAGTTATCTCCCTGGCCCTGAAACCGGCATTTTAAATAGTGTCCAGAAGAAGATAAGAGTTACAAGTGAGAAGGAACAGAAACGTTCCCATTATTTTTAGAGAATAACTATTCTTTATATCCCACTAGATACAACGTGTACAGTCATAAAGATTAACAACTTGTGATAAAGAGCTGTAGTCTACCAACAAGGGCAGATGTAAGCCATATCATCACAAAAATGACCCGTTCTCTATTTTATTTTATGTTAGGTTCCTTGGGTAACTTTATTCCACTGAGCCATCTCCCCAGCTCTCCTTGGGTAACTTCAGCCCTTAACAAAATGATGAGTTTTGTTTTTTGTTTTCCTTTTTGGGGTACAGCTATAAAATATCTGACTATAGGAAATGGATTATTCTTAAAGCCTTGATATTGGGGCTGGAGAGATGGCTCAGTGGTCTAAAGCACCTACTTGAAACAAGCTTGGCAAAGCACAGGGACTGTGGTTCAATCCCCCAGCACCACATGCCAGCCAGCCCCTGCCCCCTGGTGGGCTGAGCTGGCCACACACACACACACACACACACACACACACACACACACACACACACACACACACACACACACACACATAAATAAATAAAAAAAAAATTAAAAAAAAAAGCCTTGATATTCAGGGTGGATTGTGAAATGTAAATTTTTGTGAGATTTCAAAGACTAAGACTGTGGTGATAACATTTTTTACAGATTTAAAAAGATGTGGTTATCACAAGTCTGTTGAGAATAAAAATTACTACCTAAAATAATTAACTCTGAATAAATATTTTGCATTAAAAAAAATCCAGTCTCCCCTGTGGGCTTTCTCTATTGCATGCATCTAACAGTTTTGACCATGCCAGAGAATGGTCTGGAGACATTAGACATCTTTGTGTTATAAAATTGAAATGATAAACCTCCAAGTTACAATTACCTTTGGGTCCATAGCCTTCCTTGCCAAAAGTAAGCCCAAGATGACTGTCTTCAGATCAACTCTTTTTTTTTTTTTTCCTTTTTCTTTTTTGTCCTTTTGAGACAGGGTTTTACTACGCAGATCAAACTAGCCTTGAATTCACTTTGTAGCCCAGGTTGGCCTCAAGCTCATGGCGATCCTCCTGCCTCAGCTTCCTAAGTGCTGTGATTACAGGCATGTGCCACCACGCCCAGCCATCAGATCAACTCTTATCAATTATGACAGATTTCATTTTGTAAGCCATTTTCTAATTCAGGCATGGAAACTCTTCCCAAAAGTCCTGTCAAACCAAGAATTGGAGGACACAGCCTAGATTTTCTTTAGTGTGAAATAAAGCCAATTTTAATTTGGCAATCAGTAGTTGGCAGGAAATAAGGTCCCCTGAATAGTTCCAAATTCCCTTAGGCAGAGGACTCTCCAAGTGGAGAACTTGATCAACCCACTTGTCCTGTCTCATGCCTCTCACCCTCCCTTTACCCCCAGACTGATCACAAGTAAAGGGGCCTGTGCCTGCCAGGGTTAAGAAGAGAGAAGGGTGGGCTGCCCCATTCCAAGGAATTCTGTGCTCCTGGGTTGTGGCTTCCCCATCAGGGCAGTCCCTGCTTCCTCTTCTTTCTCTTTGCCCTCTTTTTCTCTTGCCTCCAGCTGTGTGTGTCCCAGCAGTCATGGCTCCAAGACCTTATTTGTTGACCCTGGGTCTCCCTGCTGACCTGGGTCCAGCTGCTTAGGCCAGGGTTTAGGAGTGTTTGTTCTCACTTCTGGGTCAAGACAACTAATGTCTTTTCCTCAGCTGGGCCTTAGGAAGGCCCCCAGACTGTCATGGCAGGAATTCTTCCTAGAAGCCACACTCACGAAAGCAGGAGACCAGATCTTTAGAGCAAAGCTGATGGCCAGGCACTTGGGGAGCAGTTGTAGGCCCCACGCCCACTTGCCAAGTGAGCTGGCATCACCTAAGGGGTCCAGAGTGGGTGTGGGGTGAGACTGGAAGGCAAACACAAAAAGGCAGAACGCCACTTGCAGCCCTGGACCATGGCCGTCCCAGGGCTAGATCTGCTCACCTCTCTGACAGCAGGAACTCCACCTCCAGCTCTTCGGAGCCCTGGCAGGGGAGGGAGGGAAGGTGGCTGTGAGCAGTGTGTGCACATCTCTGCCAGGCAGGACAGTATGCTGCTGTTCCCCACCCTCCACAGCCCTGCTGCCCAGAGAAGGGACAGCTCCTTACCCCCTATGCACTCTCTGTCCCCAAGTCTTTGAGATCAGGGACAGCACAGACATCAGAGAAGCCCAGGGTGAGGAACTGACCTCTGCACCAGCTCTTGCATCCCTCTGCCCTAGAATAGTTCTTTTCTGCCCCATCCCCAGCCTCCCCAAGGCTCAGAGCTGGGACAAGGGAACCTGGGGGCTAGCAGCCCTTCCCTCACCTGGTCTTTTGCACCTCTTATTACAGTCTGAGGCAAGAGGAGGCTTTAGTTTCCTCACAACAGCAGGAAAGGGGAAGGGTGCCTGCCTCTGAGGGATCCACAGGGCAGGAAGAACTCACTGAAGGCTCTTGGGCATTTGTTAAGTGACTAGATCTCTTTAGTTCAACTTTCTCTAGCTTGTGCATTTGCTCTCTTTATCCTCATTGGTATCCATTCCCTGGGACATCCTTGAAACAGGACTGTAAGACTAGGAAAAGGGGAAGGGAACCAGCATGAGTATCTCCATTCTGCATCATGAGCACGGACCACTGGGTGCCTTAGCAATGTTTCTTACTTACGCCTCAAAAAATCCCAGGTGGATATTATTGTCACCACTGTACAGACAGGAAGTAAAAAACTCTGAGAGGAATGAAGTTATTTTCCCAGCCTCCATCACACTGCTAATAATGGAGAGTGCTGGGATTCGGACAGGAAACACCACTTTTTCCTGGCTTGGCTGTGTATACACAAGGAGAAGCCCATGCGGTGGCATCAGGGGAATAACCCACTGCTCCTCAAGAGGCAGGAGGCTATGGGCCTGGGCTCCTCCACCTACCTTTAGGTCAAATGGGAACTTCACATGGACTTTCTTCCGGAAGCAGAGCTTGGAGAGGTCATAGAGAACTGTCAAGAGATGGTCGTTGGGTGTTACTGTGTCTTCATCACAGATGCTCAGCTCTAGCACATTCTAGGGGAGAAAAGAGGGTACAGGTATTGTTATCATGATTGCACTGACCCATTTCCAGGACAAGGGCCTTATCTGTTTCTTATTCAAGAAGTAGTTCTGAGGACTGGAGGCCACACAACTGGTAGGATTGGGATAAGGGGTGATAACTCCATTCTTTGGCTCATCAGCCCTGATAAAGTCACATGAATAAGCCCAAGCAGCATGCCTAGAGTCAGCAGCTATCCTGTTGAGTGGCTGGAGTCAGTGCTTTCAGGTTACCTGGACTAGTTTCAGAAGTCTCTCCTTCCAAGGATACTGGAAGATGTAGACTGAGGCCAGTGTTACCTTTTACATCCCTATCTGAGGTTCTGGGGCTTCCCAATAGATCTGTTGACCTCATAATTACTAGAAATCCAAGTAAGACCTATAACCAACTGAGAAGCTCTATAACCTTTAAGATACAGAAAACCCAAGTTCCAATTTTAAGAAGAAAGATAAAAGTTACATGAAAATATTCTTATCACCAAACTCATATATATGATAGAAAAGTCATTATAAAGAAATAACTATAGCCAGGATGTGGCTCAATGGTAGAGTTCTTGACTTGCATATGCAAAGCTGTGGGTTTGATACTCAGCACCAGAAAAGAGTAAAATTGTAAAGCCCTCCTTAAAAATGCAAGACATTCTTCATAAACTAGAAATGGAAAAGCATCCTTTAAAAATGTGAAATGGATAGATTCCTAGCCACATATGAATTACCAAAACTGAACTAAATTTTAAAACTCTGAATAGGTAATGAAACTGAAGCAGTAATAAAAAAGTCTACCAAGATCCTAGGTCAAGGTGGATTCATTGTTGAGTTCTAAAGAAATTTTTCAAGGAAGTTCTACCACTAATATTTCTTAAGCTTTTTGATGAAATTGAAAGGCAAGGAGTGCTCTCAAAATCATTCCTGAAAGAAGCTACCCTTACCCTGGTTTCCAAACCAAAAAAGAGAACTATACAGTAATCTCTTTAAGGCATATAAATGAAAAAGTCCTCAACAAAATACTATAAATCATAGTACAATGAATACTTAAAAACATTATACATCATGAATAAGTAAGATTCATTTCAGGGATGTGAGGATGGTTCAGCATATGCAAATCAATAAATGTAATACATCACATAAACAGAAGCAGTGATAAAAGTCACATAATCATCTTAATAGACTCAGAAAAAGCCTTTGACGAAATATAACATCTATTCATGAGAAATAAGCCCTGAACAAAATAGATATTGAGGGACTTTATCTCAATCCAATAAAAACTATTTATGAAAAATCTACTGGCACATCATATTAAATGAGGAAAACCCAAAAATTTACCCTCTAAAATCAGGAACAAGACAAAGATATCCTCTATCACTACTCTTGTTCAATATAATCTTCCAAACATTAGCAGGAGCAATTAGGCAAGGAAAAGAAATAAAAGGGATAGTATATGTATAGGAGAAGAGCCAGTGTGGTAGTGGCATTTGGAAGGCTGAGGCAGGTGAATTGCTGCATATGTGAGGCCAGCCTGGGCCATACAGTGAGTTCAAAATCTACCCAAACTGCATAGCAAGATCTTGTCTCAACCCTACCCTGTAACTGTCCAACACAAAAGGAAAAGAAGTCAAAATATCATTATCTGAAGATAACAAAATCTTCTACACATAAGACCCCCAAAAAATCTACCCAAAGATTGATTAAAGCCAAACATGGTGACACACACCTGTAATTCCAGCATGTGGGAGGCTGAGGCAGGAGGGTCACAGCCAGTTAAAGCCAGTCTGGGTTACACAGTAAACTCAAGGACCAGCCTGGACTACTATAGTGAGACTTTGTCTCAAAAAACAAATAAACAAATAAAAAGCTCTTAGAATTAGTAACCAAAAGGCTGGGGAGATAGCTCAGGGGCATAAGTGCCTTCCTGGCAAGTGCGAGGTCCTGAGTTCAATCCCTGGTACTGCATGCTGTGCTGGCCCTGGAACCAGACAGGTGGTACATGTCTGTAATCTCAGCACTAGGGAGATTGAGATAGGAGGATCACTGAGTCCGAACTGCATAGTGAGATCCATATCAACAACAAGAACAACAAAATAGTAACCAAAATTTAGGAATGCAGCAAGATGCGAAATCAAGCCAAAAAAATCTGTAGCATTCTTAATAGCACCAAGAAAAATTAAATACTTAGGAATTAACCTAACTAAAGAGATGAAGACTTCTATGTTGAAAATTACAGCATCCTAAAATAAGAGAGCAAAGAGGACATCAGAAAATGGAAAGCTACCCCTTGTCTCTAGATAGGCAGAATCAATATAGTCAAAATGGCCTAAGCTTCCACAACTGATATACAGATTTAATGCAATCCCAGCCAGAATGCCAACAACATTCTTCACAGAACTGAAGAAAATAATCCTAAAATTCATGTGGAACCACAAGAGATCTGGAATAGTAGAAGCAATCTTGGGTAACAAAAGCAAAGCAGGAGACATCACAATTCAGGACTTGAAGTTATAGTACAAAGCTACAGTGTAAAATAGCATGGTATGAGCACAAAACAGATGGGAGGGTCAGTGAAACAGAATAGAGGATTCAGGAACAACTCCGAGCACATTGGTCTTCATCTTTGACAAAGGGGCCAAAAATGTACCCTAGAGGAAAGTTAGTATCTCTAATAAATGGTGCTGGGAAAACTGGCCATCCACATGCAGAAGACTGATCTGGACTGATATCTCTAACCATGTACTAACTTGAAGTCAAAGCAGATTAAGGGACTAAATGTTAAAGCAGAAACAAAGTAGTGGACAATAAAATAGGAAAAACTCTTGAAGTCAGATTCATCTGCAAGGTCTTAGCAGAATTCCACCTGCATAGGAAGTAGTTCCAAGAATGGACAAACGGGATTGTATCAAATTACGAAGCTTCTGCACAGCAAAAGAAACAACCAATAGAGTGACAAGACTACATTCAGAGTGGGAAAAAATTCTTTTACCAGCTCTTCCTGACAGGACTAATATCTACAATACATGAAAAAAAAAAAGACTCCCTGAAATAAAAAACCTAATAAAAAATGAGCAAGTGAAATGAGTAGATAGTTCAAGAAAGAAGAAATACAAAAGGCCAATAAATGCATGAAGAAATGCTCAACACCTCTGACCATTAGAGAAAGGCAAATTAAGACAACACAGACTCCATCTTATCCCAGAAAGAATGTCAGAATGGCTGTCATCAAGAAATAACAAATACTGGTGAGGGTGCAGGGATGAGGAAATGCTTGTACATTTTTGGTGGGAATGTGAACTAGTATAACACTATGGAAATCAGTATGGAAATTTCTCAAAAAACTAAAACCTAGAAATTTCATGTGACCCAGCTATTCCCCTTCTAGGTATCTTTTCAAAGAATTAAAAATATTATATTGTAGGGATACATGGCTACTTATGTTTATGGCAGCACAATTCATAACATCTAATTCTTGGAAGCAGCCTCTATGTCCATCAGTAGATGAATGGATAAAGAAAATGTGGTGTTTACACACCATGTAGTACTACTCTGCCATAAGGAAAGATAAGCTTGAATCATTTGTAGGCAAAAGATGCACCTTGAGACCCTAATGTTAAATGAAATAAATCAGACACACAAGCTTATATTACAAGATTTCTCTCGTATGAGAAACCCAAATTTTAAGTCAAGAGCAAGGAAATTTTAAGTCAAGGGTTAAAGAAACAGGGAGATAGAGTTATCTCCAAAGGAAGGATTGGGTCAGGAGATGGAGAGAGGGAGAGAAGGAATTAAGGTGTGAAAAAGGAACTAAGTTATGTTATGTACATGTACCAACTTCACATAAGGAATGTAAGCATTGTGTACTACAAATATATACTAAGTTTTTAAAAAAGGAAGTAGTAATCTGGAGGAGCTGTGACGTTTCACGCGCCTGAAGACTAGATTTGGTGCTTCTACCATGAGGCCTGATTTGTCTTACGTGTGCTCTGCTGAGGCTGTCGCATTGCAGGACACTCAAGAGAGAATTCTCTCAGGAGAATTGTCATATATCTGAAGAGGATTAAAACCCTAAAACAACAACTCGGCAAGCAAAAGAACATACACTCAAGTAAATAGAAATCATAATACTATTAGAAAATGATTTACAAGAGAGAAGACCCTCTGACAGGAGTGTGATTGACCTTAGACTGCGGCAGTTAATAGAATAAGCTCAGACCTGGTTAAAAGACTTGTTCTTCCCTTCTGTGAGTCTCCTTCTTGGAGCAGACTGAAAAGTACTGGAAACACAATCTTTTCTGGGCCAAGAGACCCAGAGCCAGCAAGCTAGACAGAAGAGCAAGAGGGATCAGGAAGATAGGAAGATAGACTGTTAGGCCTGTTCCTCCATGCGCAAATGGACACTGATCTAATCATGTTTGTCTTTGGTGAGGAACACACATGACATAAGCAGAGGGAAGTCATGAGTGAAGAGGAAGACAGGTTGGTAGGGAAGAAGTGGGTAGATAAAAAAATGGGCAGAAGAAGGACTCACAAGAAAAAGAGAGATGAACAGGTGAAAGGAGGCACCAGGCAGGAGCTGGGTCAGTACTCACCTTCACTTTGCTCTGGATGTGGAAGCTGAAGGTTTCATTCCACTCTGGGTTTGGGCAGTTGGAGATGGTCCTGGTCCTCAGCTTCTGCTGAGAGGCAGTGGGAAGCCAGAGACTCACAAAGCAGTCTGTTTGGCTCACTGTTGAAAGAAGACAAGGATTAAGGAAAAGGGGAGGAGCCAACACAAGTGCAGAGAGCAGAGAGAGCACAGGCTCAGATGTCTTCCAGAGTGAGGTTCTCTCAGCTGCAGGGCTTCTCCTGACTCAGGGTCCAGCTCTGCAGACGCTCTTGCCCTAAGACCCTGAGAAGGGCCAGGGTAGTTAGCTATGTTTCACAGAGGGGATCAGAACTTCTGACCATTCTCTTGGACACCCCAGGCTCTGAGCAAATTCCTGCTGCTTAGGGCCAAGCTATGGCCACACAATTTCCTCTGTCAGGACAACATCTAGAAGATTAGCCCAAAGCATCTGGTTTACTTCTTGTCTTAGCACCAGGGAAACAAAATTAGGGCCAATTTCTTTCTCTAAGCTGAGGAGAAGACATGGGGATGACAGGGGAGCACAGACTGTGGTGAGTTGGCCAAGGTCTTCATGGGAACAAGTTATCAGCATGAGCCACCACCCTTACTGGGTTTAATGCCTCGTAGGCCTCCTGCTAGGCTCTTCAAACATGCCCTGGTCTCCCAGCACAGAGAAACCCTCATACCTGTTGCCAAGTACTTTTTTTTTCCAAGTTCTTTTATATGCCCTGGGGAAAAGTCAAAGGCTTTGGCCCCAATATAATTTTTCAAAATGAAAAGGAAGCAGGTATGGTGTTACATGCCTATATTCCTGGCTGGTATGGAGGCTGAAGCAAGGGTGAGAATTCTAGGCCAGGCTAGGTAATATAGCAAGGCCCTATTTTATGGGGGGAGGGGAGAGGAAAGAGAAGAGAAAAAAAATAAGGTGCAGTGGAAGAAAAGAAGGAGGAAGGATGGAAGGGAGGAGGAGGGAGGAAGGAAGAAAGGACGGAAAGAAGGAAGGAAAGAAGGAAAGAAGGAAGGAAGGAAGGAAGGAAGGAAGGAAGGAAGGAAGGAAGGAAGCCTCTTGAGACTTCCATTGGAGCAGCAGAAGAAATATGGGGGAATAGCAGCCCATCTTTGCTCCTTCTCTGTTCTGCCCTGATGGAGGGAGGAAGAGGTGCTACGTCTGTCTGTCAGTCTCTCAACAATCTGCTGAGGTAAATCTCAGGATACCCACCAGGCTGTAGAGAATGGTAACAGTCAGCACAGTTTCCAGGTCTTGATGGTAAAGCTGGTTTAGGCAGGCATTCCACACTGATAGGATTGATTGTAAGTAGTTGATTATTATTAACAATCACTAACGAGAGTGTCACCAGGGCTGTTCCCCTGGACTGACTCGTGAACTAATCATGTCTTCTGTCCCAGGCATTCTTGGCTTCTGATTTTACTCCTGAACTTTGAGAGCTCACCATTCAGAGAATAGAAACACATAGCTCTCTTCCCAGTGAATAAAGGTGAGATGACACAGTCCTTTAGATATCATAATAATCATTTAATCCAGGCAGAAAGAATGACCAAACCTCAGCAGAATCAGAAAAGAATGATTCCCCACCCCCTAACACCACTCTGAACAACTTGAGGGCGGGCCACTGTGCCCAACCTGTTCATCTCTGGCAGCATGGGAAACCCAGCCAGAAAGCCATGTCCCCCTCAGCTCTCATACTGCATCCTTCAAACTTCCTCTCTCAACCCCGCCCCCTTCACCTGCACTGCCCCAGCATTGTGACAGCAGGTGCCTCCAGCTTATCCATTGCTCTATGAACACCAGAGGGGCTGGGGGTGGGGTGGCGGGATGCTGTGTGTGTTTAACACTCACTAGATATCTTTGGATGAATGAATGAATGGATGAATGAATATCTCAGCTTCCTGCTGTCAGGTTGTGTCAGTTCCCATGAAATTTTGAGTCACTGTAGATCCAGGTAAGCAGGTTGGGATGTCTCAGTGCTCTACACATACGGAGCTGCACTAGGGACCTGCTCATCCTCTGGGAGCCCTCCCTTAGCTTTTCCTGAACACAAATCCTTCATGCTGGGCCTAGAATATTTGCCTCAGATCTGTTTCCTATGTGGTAAGAGCTTGCAGCCAGGACCAACGAACTCCATACCTGTTGGTTCTAAGACCTGCTGCACATGCATGTCTTGCTAGACCCTGTGAAGGCCTTCTTCCCTCTAAAACAGTTACCTATCATCAGTCCATGCCTACAATTCTCCCATAAAATAAAATCTCAGGATTTTCCCCTAAGGCTTAAATTCTAGTTAAGATAGAAATATACCGAGAAGAGACAAGATTAGGTGGATTAGACATCCATCCATGGTGCCAACAGTGATTTTTAGTTCTGTCACAGAATACCTACCTCTCAACACATAAAATGTTGGGAATAAAGAGACAGGGATCATGGGGAGGTGGGTGATGGAGGAGGATCAGCCAGGGCGTGGACGACAACTGTGGCAGGAACCATTTGGCTGCCTATAAGGATAGTGGTCATGACTTGGCCATGAGCAATGATAAAGCATTGGTGACCCAATCTGAGAATTTGTAGGACTCCATGGATTTCCTGGCAGAGACAGGTTCTAGTCTTCATTTGCCATGGAGTGAGAGAGGGCTTGGTCATAAGAATGACGTGTACTCTTTCTTGGCTTGTGAGTTTCAGAGATGACTCAGTCATCTTCACGGATGGTCAGAACACTAACTCCCCTGTACCTCTGGGGACACCTACTTGAGATGCTGGTCTGTGTTTTAATCAGTGTTTTCAAGAGGAATAAGAATTCTTGATGGCTGGAGGTTTCTGGGTCTGACTGTCTCTTGATGCTGGTCCACAGCTGGCACATGTGCTTTTCTAGTTCTTGGCAAAGTGTTCATCCCTAAAGCTCTGTGTGTTCTCTGCCATTAGCCTCTGAAAAATTTTGGGAAATACGGGTGTAGACAGGTTTCAGACCTAAACTGGAGAGCAGTTTGAATTCAAGCTAAAAAGAAGCAGTTCTGAGCAAGAGTGACCCAGGACCTAAAAGGCACTGGGATAGTCTCAACTTAACCAGGGAATGTAGCAAAATGGCTCAGGCCTTGCCAGGTAAGGAGTCCAGACCTGATGTGATGGGGACTGGCACACCAGATGCCGCAAATGCCCTCTAGGTCCTCAGGAAGTGAGGAAAACATAAATAACAAGGGGTTCCCAAAAGAAGACTCGCAAAGGGAGTTGCATACCAAGGCGTGTGCAGGAAGGAGAAGAGGAGCCTGGTAGAGCCAGACTGTCGCTCTCCTGCCAGTTTCTGGGGACAGGTGTGGCAGGGAGAAGCAGAAGAAAGGGCACTGGACCCTGGGAAGGTGTGGCATGCAAGTATCGGCATGCAGAGTGAGTACTCGTGGTGAGGTGACTCTAGGGACTGGAGGAACACACCTCAGGAGGAGCTGAAAGAAGACATGCAGCTGGGCTGTCCCCCAAGGGAAGGGCAACCTTTGCCCAAGATGAAGTAGCCAAGTGACACATGTTGGCAAGAGCACAGATCAGGCACAGGGGACACTTCTGGCTCCTCAACTCACATGCCGGTGGGCTGGAAAGCCCCAAGAAGCCTGAGGAAAGGTTCCTGGCCCTCTGTCTGGCCACTTGGTGACACAAGCCAAAGCTTGATGTGTGCTAGAATTGCTCTCACCGACACAAGCCCTGGACACCTCACCCTGGGCTCAGTGTGAATCCTGCCTGGTCACAGGAATGCCGGGCTCAGCGCACCCTCCTGCCCTCCACACTCACCCCACTCCACAAGCTCCCAGCCTCTGCCACTGGGCATCAGCGATCCCTTCTTTAGGAACTCAGGCAGCCCATACTTAGCGACTGTCAGATGGTTGTTCTGCCTGGCCTCTGGCCTCTCCACCAACCCGTCCCATCCTCCTTCCCCTGGCCTGTCTCATCTCCTGTCCACATCTCCAAGCCCGGAACTGAACACTGCTCCCACCCTAGGCAACCATTAACCCCTTATCTGTAAAAGGGACCTCCCACAAGGACCCTGTAAGTTCTCAGGAAGAACACATGGTGTTGGGATGGCTGGCCAGAGCAGCACTCAGCAGTGGTTGGGAGACAGATCTCTTAGAATAGCCTCTACCACCCCAGGCTCTTGGGTCTCTGAACATCAACACCCTGCCCCTCTCAGATCCCAGGGTTCCATGCAGCTTTCTTGACCCTCCAAGTTCTGTGTCCTGTGGCTGTAAATTCTGTGGTGACCAGGTTAAAGTGCCATCTCTAGCTTATGCAACTGCTTTGGACTTGGAACTCTTTTGTTAAAATGTAAGCTTAGAGCTGGGTGTGATGGCATGTGCCTATAATCACATCACTCTCGGAGGATGAGGTGAGATGACCCAAAGCTTCCATTCAATTTGGGCAATGTAGTGAGACGCTATTTCAAAATATTTAAAAATTGAAAAGGGATGGGGATGTAGCTCAGTGTGAAGGTCATAGGTTCAATCCACAGTAATGGAAAACAAAGAAAGAAGGGGGGGAAAAAGGAGGGGAGAATAGAGTAAGCTCAGAATCTTAGCTCTGTTTCTTTGTGTTTCTCCATCCCTTCTGGTCCTCCCCAGTCCTTGGGAAATTCTGTGGACCTTGAGTTATTCCTGTGTGGTCACAGTGTTCAGGGACATCCTCACAGCCACAGATCCTGGACACAGAGCTCTCTCCCCATAGGGACCACACCTCCTCTCTGGATGGGCAAGGTGAGGGTTGCCTGGGGAAGGCTGATCTCAAGAGGAAGGATTTCCTGCCTACTATGATGTCTTCATCTTTTCCTGAGGTGAAACCCCTTGGCCATCCACTAGAATGGAGGGCAGGAGAAGGGCGCAAGAAAACCCTGCCTAGAAGCTCTGGTAAGTCCATGCACATCCAAGAGCTGGACTCTAGATCTGTGCACTGTGGTAACATGCCTGCCCACCCTGCCCTATCCCCAACCCAGTTTGGGATCCCTGTTTTGAGAAAGGGCTCTGGAAAGGGCTGGTATCTGACCCCATCTTGCCTAAGGGCATCTCCTATTTCACCCCAACATCATGGGTTCTCACCTAAACTCATGGAAAATCAAGGAATGTTGGAAGCTGGTGCTTCTGGAAATGGATATGAGAAGGAGTAATAAGAGGAGGAGAAGAAAGTGGGCAGGGGAGAGCTGGGGGACAGTTGCAGGCACAAACTGCAAGGGTGGTAATGGCAAGAATGAGGGCCCTTGAAAATAATGGGACTCTTGAAGTCTGCAATGCAATCAGAGTAGAGAGTATACATGTGCTCACCCTTCACCCCTTCCATACACACACCACTGACCATTTTTCCAGTCAGCACCTCTTATCATCCAGGCCCCACAAGTGGAGAAGAAGAGAAGTGACATGAGGATACTCACATATATCAGCCTGCCGGACATTTCTCATCCGGATGATCCTCACTGTCAATAGGTGGCATGGTGACAGTCCCTCCTGTGGATTGAGAGGACAGGCTTCAAACAACACCCCAAGGTCAGTGGCCCTGAGTAGATGCTAACTGTGATGGTTGATCTTGACTGTCAATTTGATTGACTTGAGAGACACCTCGGAGATTAGTAAAACACTAGTGTGCATGGATAGATCATAGGGCATGACCTTGAGGACTCTATCTCTGTAGTGTCTACTCCTAACCTAAGTGACAGCAAGAGCACAAGTAACCCTTGATCTGATGACTGATTCCTGTCAGAGGCCTCTGCTGGCGTTGCTAACCTCTGAGGACCCTTCCTCTCTCGTAGTGTTGTCCTAATGGCTAGGTGTGCTCACACATCCTGAGTCCTGCTCCTCTTTTTGTTCTGCTCATGTCCTGAGAACCCTGCCATCACCTCAAGCTCTAGTCTTCAAGTTAGCCCCACCCCTCCTAAGGCCCACAGCGTGTGCAGAGCCATGGGGGTGGCTCTCATGGCACAAGCCACATGGACATTGGACATTGACTGAACAGCTTCCATATATCAATGGAGGTGTGATGCTGAGAAACAGGGATGGTCACCTTCTCTTGGCCCAATTTTGTCGTTTCTGGGCTCTTACCTTGTGCCTGCCAGATTTCTGAAACCACCTCTTCCTGCCTCATCAGCTCTTTTTATCCAGGAATTGCAAAGCATCTCTGTACTGTCCACTCCTAACCTGAGCCTGCACAAATGCCACTGACTCACCCGGTGCCACTGTGCCTACCACCACACTGTCAGCACTCCGTGCAGTCAGAACCACTTTGTGCTTTATTCAGAAGATGCAATTTTGCTCTGTATAAATTTTGAAGTTTTCAGTAAAACATAAATGTGGAAGAAAAAGTGTCCATAATTCCACCACGCAGAGGTAATCATCACTACTTTGATGTCTGTCCCTCCAGACTTTTCTAGGGCTTGTTTCTAACCAGCAGCAATAGAAGGATGGTTGTCTATCATGTCTGAGATAGATATGTACATATGTGGGTCTCTTCCTCTTCTCTTACCCATAGCTGCCTAAAATCAAAATAAAATTTAGGTGGATGGCTGCACATAGTCTGAGGATTCCTTTTGTAGGTTAACTCTGGACATGATAGCTTTCACACTCAGTGACTTGCTCTAATAGCATTCTGTTATGAGGATTGTGACTTGGGCCATGGTCATATACCTGGCTTCTCGTCTGGCTCTGGACACACCCTATGACCTTTGGCAGGAGCCCTCTCAGGTAGGCATAGTGGGCTCTTCATCTCTCACTTTCCACCTTGGCAGTGTGGGTCTTGGTCTGGCACAGTGAGGATTCAAGAACCACCTTTCAGCAGAGCACATCCTGGCAAGCCAAGCACCACTGCCCACTTTCTTGGAGGGCTGCTGGGTTAATCCTGTGGAGCTGAAAAAGCCTCAGTTCAGGTGGAGGTCTGTCCTTGGGGACATCCCTAGTGCAGCAGAACTCTGAGCCCAAGACCAGGTCTTCTCAGCCATCATGGACTTTCTCTGTTTCTAGAAGGGGTTGCCAGATGCCTAGCATGATTCCTTCAGGGTCTTCTGTGGAAGGGAAGGAGTAGGCATAGTTTTCCTTGCAACTTCATTTAAGGTCTCCTGCCTTCCAGGAAACATTCTGTCTTGTCACTGAACCTCTGTACCTCCCGACAGGATGGATCATTTTTTCCTGCTCTAGCTCTGCAACAACACAGCAATGCCAGTAGTCACCCATCGATGGTCTTCCTTGTGGCCCGTGCTGTGTACATATTCTCTGTAGATTATCTTGCTTAATCCTTACAGTGATGCCATGAAGCAGTTACTACTAGCTTCACTTTATGGATGGAGAATCTGGGGTTCAGCTCTTTGACGTAGGACCCTTAGCTAGAATCACAGGAACCTGAGTTGGAGTTGAACTCTAGTTCTCAACCATGTGCTCAGAAACACTGCTACACTCTCATCTTACCTAAGTGACCCTCAGCAAACAAGAAGATAGATATCACTTGCCCTCTCTTCTCCTCTCTCTTGATCTTCATCTCTTAGAACCGGTTTTCTTGACAGCCTTTTTTCCCACTGAGAGTGCTTCCAAAGCCCCCAAGTAACCCCCAAACTTGGCAGTCTTACTGGCTCTGCTTTTGTTATCTGCATCTTTATGGGACACATTCCATGATCACTGTCATTTGTGGGCATCCAGAGCATGTCATATCAGGGTCCTCGAGGAAGTTCTTGTTTTCTAGCATGACCCAGTCCTCCTGGTGGTCTCCTGTGAGCCCCAGGTCACGCCTTCAAGCTCAGGAATTTTCAGGAGAGACCAGTTTTGGAGTACTCCTAACAGTGCTCTGACATTTGCCCAATAGAGACAGAGCAGGGAGGGTTTTGAAGAGATTGCAGAGGACTGTGCTGGGAGGAAGGAAGTAGGACTGTGGGTAATTAGGTCTAGACCTGGGTATATTCCAAGGAAAATGACCTTGGATTGGAAAGGATAGGTACATTTTGATCCTCACATAATAGCTCCATAGGACTGGTGCTAGGCAGGACCAAAACTTCATGACCCTGAGGTAACTGATCTATAATAGATAGCTGCTTTCGAACCCAGCACACTGCCTATGCACATACAGATGGGGTCCAGAAACCAGCAAGTCTGTGGAACCCAGGTTTATGAAATCCCTTGTGTAGTAAAGATCAATATTTCAGGGACTTTTGGATATGTCCGTTCCTAAAACAGGTTGCCTTGGCTGAGATTGGATATCAGAGTGAGAATCAGAATATTTAATAACAGGCATAATCAAATACCAAGCCACTTGGGTGCGGTCTTAGGTAAGGACTCAGATAATCCTTCATTTCGCAGGGCATGGGACAGACCCTGGGGTGAGGAGCAGGATGCATGCAGCCAGGGGCTTGGAAGTCATGGCAGGAGCCTGGCAAACAGCCCAGAGGTGTGTCCAGCCACTGGAATAATCTGTCTGTGGTTCTGAGGAGGAGGGCTGGGTAGCAGTTCTCTGAGAGCCTTTCAGGAGAAAGAACCTACTGCTCACACTGTAGACACCCAAGGCCCCAGCCTCCTGCTTGTCCTTGACCTCGGAGCTTGACCTCATCAGAACCCCACCTTCCCTGTAACACCTGCTCAGGACTGAGAACCCTGCCAGTTCACGTGGAAAAGTAGCATCCCTTAGAGTCTAGGGACCAGTTATTACAAAGTCTGGGGCTATCTCTTCCCAGGCCCAATGTTATAGATGTGACCTCCAGGAAGATAGAGGTGGGAAACAAAGATAGAGGTGGGAAACATTACTCTTTCCCCGGAGTGCCTGGCTCTGCCTCCACACTGGGTGCGAATCCTCTAGGCAGCCTTGGAGGGTGGTTTTATTGTCCTTGCTTCAAGGAGACCACATTTAGGGAGATTACATCTCGCACAGGCTGGCACATCTGGAAGCAGCAGCAGAGCTAGGCTCCAGGACCCAAGTGTGAGTCGCATCCACCTGCCTTGCCAGTATGCTGTCTGGCCACCTGGAGGCTGTTTCTGCTCACTCGGGATCAACACTGGCCTGCTCCAGGGCATAAGCTAGATTAGTTAATGGCAGAGGCAGGAATAAGCCCCTCAACTCCCAAGTCAGGACTCTCCCTGTACCCATGGGTACAGCTATTACCATAAATTGTTCCAAAGAGTTGTTAGTTATAGATGGACTCCAGGGTCTGGCTCCTGGGTGGCAGTGGGGGAGGGAGAAATCTGACCCCCAGGTTGCAGAAATGGTGGATCAGATGTCCATTTGGGCCAGGTGTCTCCTCACCAGCTTATCTCATGAGGTAGAGGTGCCCAGAGAGGAGAAGACAGCTGCCCTCCTTGGGGCATCTTAGGGCAGTATTGGCAGGTGAGGCCACCACCTCCTCCTTAGAAAGATGGGTGTAGCCATGGCTCCTACAGCACTGTGCCAGAGCTCAGGTGAGCCTGGTCACATCTTCCAGAATACATGAACCCTCTCTCTATAAGGACATCTTTGAGATGGGGACACTTGGGACCTTGGGACAGGTCCCAATCAGCTGAACAACATCCTAGACTAGAGGTCATCTGGGAGGGGGCCCTGAGGCTTCTTTACTTTCTATTATTCAGGCTGAGTGAGTAGTTAGGCAAGAAGTCTCAGCACTGAGTGACATGGTCCTTCTGGGACTGGAGAGGGACCAGAGCAGCTGGTGGAGGTGCCTGGAGTCACACTGCAGGCCTCAGCTCTTAGCTGCTTCACCTGCCCTCCAGGCTGGGCTCAATCCCCTCTGCGGAAGAGTGCTCCTGCCCCAAGTTCCTAGAAGTTCAGTAAGACTGGAAAGGCAGGAACAAGTGCCACCAGAAGCCCTTCTGGCATCTGTGGTGAAAGCTTGGCCCACCCAGAAGTACTGTCTGTCCTGCCGGGGAAGCAGGGCCAGCTGTCACCAAGTAGTTCCGAATTCCCCTCCCTCCTTCTTTGAAGACCAAACAGGGTCTCCATCTACCCTTTGCAGGGACAAAAAATTTTGGGGGGCATCACTCAGCTCACTTAATGACTTAGTGTGGGTAGGGCTAGGGCGATGAGAGAGAAGTTGCTGCCCTCAGGGTCCTCCCTTACAGTTCTCCCCATGACTTGGCTACAGTCAGGTGGGAGACTAAGGTTGTCTCTCTATTGCCTAGACAGGAAACCAAGGCAGAGTCAGCCCCAGCACTAGCAACCTGACTCATGAGCCCAGGGTCTTCCTGTGAGGCTGGGAGGGGTTGCCTGGACCCAGGGTTCTTAACAGTAAACCTTGATGATAGTTTTGCAACTAGTGGTAACAATTCAACCAGTTCTCACCATATACCACACACTCCCACAGGCTACAAGCCCAGGATGTCCACAGGATTAAAACCACCAACACAGGTCTGGATCCTGTCTATAGTACTAAGTACTGAGTACTGAGTATTATCCTGCGTGCTGGCCTGGCCCCAGGATGCTCCTGAGCCACTGAATGGGGCCCTTTTGTCTTTCGGTACCCTCAGCTAGGGATCTGCCCAAGCAC